GGTCCCGAGGCCAGGCGAGGGCCCCACGAGGCCGAAAATGGCCCAACATCTTCAGTCTTGATATTTTTCAAAACGACGCGATCATATGTCTGGGCCTGGATTTGCCTTGCTCCACCCCCCTTGCCCGCAGCACTTCCACTCGCGTTATGTTGCTTCCATCGTACTGAAGGACCACATCCCTGAAATCATTTCGACCGCCCCGAACAGTACTCGGACAGTGTCGAACGAGTATCACCGCCCAGGGTCCGGCGCGTGAAAACCCTCCAGTTTCGACACTTCCTTGGTGCTCGAGAGTCTTTCTGGCGACCAAGGCTAAAGTAGATTGGAACACCATAGCCCTCGCGGTCCCCTGCCGTGGCAGCCCTGAGATCCGACGTCTCGAAAAAACGGAGACATCCTGGAAATCGCGACCAGAGCCCTGGACCCCATCTTTCCGCGGCATTCTTCGACCCGGGTCGAGCTGTGTGGGCCCCCGGGCCCACACTGGGGCGAGAGCGGCCCGTGTGCTCTAGGCCTCCTAGACGGGGTCGGAGTAGATGGGGTCGGAGGATCGCGCCGCATCGCCGATGCATCGCCGATGCGGCTCGATGTGGCGCCCGCTTTGCTTCATGTCGACGTCGCCGATGTATCGCCGATGTCGACGATGCATCGCCCGTGCATCACCGATGCATCGACAATGCATCGCCGATGTATCGGCGATGCGGCCCGATCATCCGACCCCATCTACTCCGACCCCCGTCTAGGAGGCTTCGCTCTTAGGGAAGCTCTACGAGTCAATTGCACCATGAACCGCGCCATGATCGACTGCAGGGAATAAAAGTCTGGATTCTCAAAACGAATGGTCAAATCTCTCACGCTGGGGCGAGAGCGGCCCGTGCGCACAGCTTGCAACGCCAGGACCTCAGCGGACCCCTCCCTGTCGGAGGTGGATAGACCTCCTACCCTGACACGTCGATGAAGGAATTGGCCGTTTTCGGTTCGCGAGAGGGCGTCGCGGCCATTATTTCTGCGGGTCCAGGTCCGTCGGTTTCGGTCCCAGGCCGCTTTCACTAAGTTGAGGTTTGCTCAAGGGAGGTTTGTCCACCGCCGAGAGCGGCCCGTGTGCACAGCTTGCAACGCCAGGACCTCAGCGGACCCCCCCCCCCCGGCTCGCAGCACCTCCCCTCGCGGGCCCCCGCCGTGGCAGCGCGGGGGCCGCCGTCTCCGCCGACCTCCGCTGGCCTCGCCCGTCGTCGTCGGCTGTCGTCCGCCGTCGTCGTCGTCGTCGTCGTCGTCGTCCGTCGTCCGTCGTCCGTCGTCGTCGTCGTCGTCGTCGACGTCGTCGTCGTCGTCGCCGCCTCGGCCCCTGGCGGCTCGAGCGGCCTGCTCCGGCCGGCGCGGCGCCGGGCGCGCCGCCGACCGGCTCGCCCCTCGGGCGAGCCCGCGCGGGGCAGGGGCGCGGCGCCTCCGACGCCGCGGGCCCCTCGGCGCGGGCACGGGGCCTCTGGTCAAACCCAGACCCCCTCGAGTAATGAAAAAATCATGACGGGAGGTTTTTCCTAATTTTCGGCCTCCTGGGGCCCTCACTGGGCCTCGGGAGCGTCAAAAAACGACTCAGGATAACAAACCGGTCCTGGGGAAGGGGTCGAGAACTCTGGGGTCGACGTAATGAAAAATTCATTACGTCGGGGGTCTGGGAACGACGCGAAGATCGGGACAAAATCGGATCGGGATAACTCGAAGTCTCTGAGGATCGGCGGGTTTGGAGGAGGTCTTGGGCGCCGCGGCCGCCCCAGAGCGTTCCGGAACGTTCTGAGAGCGCTCCGGAACGCTCTGGAGCGAAGGATTGCAAAAAAACCTAGGATTGCAAAAAATCCCTGGATTGCAAAAAAACCTAGCTTGAACGAAGGGTTTTTTTGCAATCCTTTTTTTTTTTTTTTTTGCAAACCTAGGATTGCAAAAAAAAACCTAGGATTGCAATCCTTTATCCCGATCCTAGCCCTGTTTTATCTGGCACGAGCAGCGGGCCCGGGCAGTATGACCGCGTCGTGGAAGAGCAAGAAATCGGGGCGCCGTCGCCCAAGAAGTGTGGGCCCCTGGGGTCCACGCAGCTCGATGCGGGTCGAGGAAGCGTGGCAGAGAGATGGGGTCCTGGGCTCTGGTCGTGATGTTTCACGATGTCTCAATTCTCTGGAGGCGTCGGATCTCAGGAGCAGGGGCAATTCAGGCCCAGGCACATGATCGCGTCGTGGAAGAAACAAAACCGGGCGGGAGGTTTTTGGCCAAGTTCGGCCTCGGGGGGGCCTCGCCGGGCCTCGGGGCCGTCAGAAAACGACTCGGGATGCAGAACGGGTCCCGGGGAGAGAGAGGGTCGGGACTCCCAGGGACCCCGCATTGAAAGAATCAGGACGTCGCATGTCTGGGAACGGGTCCCTGAGATCCTGGCGACGCCATTTTTTCTGGGAAGCGGGGCGTGTGTTCGCCCGGTTCTTCGAGCCTCGGGGCCGTCGCGCAGATCGGTCTGGCTCGAGGAGTGGCGCGGCGAGATGGGGTCCGGGGCTCCGGTCGTGACGTTTCACGATGCCTGGAGTTTTCCGAGACGTCGGAGAGGAGGAGGAGGAGGAGGAGGAGGAGGAGGAGGAGGAGAAGAATCCAGGGGCGAGGAGGAGGAGGAGGAGGAGGAGGAGGAGGAGGCACGTCGGGGTAGGCCAGGAGGGGGGGGGGATGACGGGGGGCATGGGGGGAGAGATGCCATGCCCAGGGCCAGGGTGTGCCCCCCCCCCCCCCCCCCCCCCAGATCTCCAGGCCCCCTCGTCTCGAGAGGGGAGAAAACACACACAGACACAATGAATCGCCGACTCCCAGGAGAATGTGGGAAAATGGGCTGTGGGGGGGATGACGAAAATCAGAAGAATATGTGGAAATACTGAGAATCCTGTTATTTGTGTGTATTTATTCTCGTGTCCTTGGCCCCTTCATCTTCTGCTTTCAGCACGTCCCTCGCCCCCCCCCCCCCCCCCCTCTGGGTCGCAGACGTGCCTTGCGCCATGATGTGCGACCCGCCTGGACGCCCCCGAACACGGGGGGGATGGGCCGTCGCCGCGATCTAAGGCCTCCCAGATCGGGTCGGAGTAAATTGGGTCGGAGGATCGCGCCGCATCGTCGATGCATCGGCGATGCGGCTCGATGTGGAGCCCGATCTTCTCCACGCGGACGTCGGCGCTGCATCGCCGACGTCACCAATGCATCGCCAATGCAACGACGATGCATCGCCGATGTCTCGGCGATTCGTTGATTCGGCGAGATCCTCCGACCCCATCTATTCCTATCCCACTTGGGAGGCCTCTACATGAGCAGCGAACGTATTCACACTGTGTGTGCACTCGTTAATGAGTGTGCTTAGAAGGCTCCAGACCCTGGAGGGTTCTTTGCCCAATGTGGGCGGCGGTGACACCCGTGGCCAAGGCTCAATTGGAGTGCCATCTTGTTCACGGGTTTCGTATCCTGGGCCCTCACCGTATGCCCCCGCGGTTTGGATTCCAGGGCGTGGTCCCGCGGATGCGCGGTCGCACGGATAGCACTCCGCGCGTGGCATCGGCGAAACAGCACCCCGTGTCTTCGGGATCGCGGCCCGGGGGCTTGGACCGCGAGGGTGTGGATACGGATCTGTTTTCTGCCCGCGACGGTCGACCCTGGAGACCCGACGTCTCGAAAACATGTTTAAACCAGAATCAGGAGAATCACGACCCGAGCTCTGGACCACATCCCTCTGCGCCATTTTTCCAGCCGGATCGATCTCTGAGGGTCCCGTGGCCCGAAGCTGGGCGAAAACGGCTCGCAACAATCGCATCGCCAGGATCTCAAGGTCGCGGAACATCATAACACACAACCTTCTGGATGATGGGCCTGTTTTGCACCACCACTACCATAAGTGGGAGGGGGGAAGGAGGAGGACGAGGACGAGAGAAGGAGGAGGAGGATGAGGAGGAGGACCCCCTCCCCCTCCAACTTACGGTGGTGGTGGTGGAAAACAGGCCCATCATCTGGAGGCCCGCGCACCCCCGTTTTGGACCGTCGCTGGACCCCCGCGGCCGGCACGCTCGCTCCACGCTCTCCGTCGTTGGGCCCACCTCCTTGGGCGCACGCCACGCACTAGTGGCGGCACCGCGGGCGCCAGCAGGGGCCGGGGGCAGGAGGGTCCAGCGACGCTCCAAGAGTCGACTACACCTTAGGCGATGCTTAAGAAAACCTAAGTTTTCGTCCAGAGTCTCGATTATTCTTAACTTTTCAATGTAAATCCCAAGATTTTGATAGAAGTTCTGGGTTTTATCCCATTTCTGAGACTATGAATTTCTTAACCCATGATTTCTTGAGCATTTCGCAGGGTGTACACGTAACAGTGTGACCTTTCGCCGGAGTGACCTTTGGTGCGGGCCCAACGGGGCCCCCCGATCGCCGAGCGCGCTGCAGCAGTAGTGTCCTGCGCGCTTGTGTCTGCCCCCGCGGCTCCCCCAGAAGCCGCGCACCAAAGGTCACTCTTGACCAGGGTCGCTCGTTGCGTGCAGTCGAAAGAGATGCTCGCGGTCCTTGTGAGGTTTGTGCTCATGTATTGCGAAGGCCTTACGGCCGGTGCCGCGACCCTGAAGGCAGGACCTCCCCTTGGACCCCCGCTGGCGACCCCCCCAGGAACCCCCGGGACCCGCTGGGACCCCCCGGGGGGGGGGGCGGTATTTTGAGCTGGGACCCCCCCCCTTTGTCAGGGAATGGAAAGTCACGGGGGGAATCGACTGAACCATCACGTTTCTTTTCCTTCCTTCTTTGTTGCTCGATGTCCTTGGGATTTGCGACAACGACGACGACGACGACGACGACGACGACGACGACGACGACGACGACGACGACGACGACGACGACGACGAGGGCACAGCCTCTCGCACACGCCGAAGGGTCGGCTGATTTTAGCTCTTCTTCCAGGCCCCTTCCCCAGCGACGGCTTTTCGTCCCTGCCCCCCATGGTATGTCGTGGGGGACCCGGAACGAAGATAAAACCGGTCCAGAGCGGTCCAGACTGCTCTCCGAGCGTTCTGGGACGCTCTGGCACTGCCGCGGCGCCCGATATCATCCTCGAGCACGGCTGGCTCGTAGACATGGGTGATTTGCTCGTCTCCCCCCTTTCCATTCTGAGAGAGACGCAGTATTCTAACCCGAGGCGCCGGCACCCGTGAGCGACAAGTTTGTCCAGAGAGTTGGGGGACCTGGGCCGGAGTGGGCAAAGCAGCTTCATCCGCACGCCGTTCGCGCCTGGGGGATGGAGGCACTCAGGATCTGAAGATGCAGAGAGCTTTCGTTCACGCCCGAGTGCTGCATTCACCGCCGACTCGCCCTGCAAGGTGTATGTCGGCCACGCGCACAGGCGGTAGGGGGAGGGGGGAGGGCAGATAAGAGGCACCCCCTCTTCTCAGAGGGCGCAGACCTTATCTATAGAGGGCATGCCCGCGCCCTCCAAGAGGCAGCGTCCTTCTAGGAAGCCTTCCCCCCTCCCCCCTGCCCCCTTGTTGTGCGCGCCGTTAGGTTTAAGTCGGGCCTGTCCCTCTACAGGGGAGATATTCAACAATAGTCACAACATAGTCGGCGGGCGACTTTCTCGAGCTTTTCCTGATCGTTTGGGGGTATTTTCGGAGTCTGTTTTTTTTTTTCCCACAGTCCGCCTGTAGGGGAACACGCCCGACCTCACGTTCGGTATGGCGTGGCCTCACCTGGCCCTGCCTCCGTCCTGCCGGCGCGCCGCGGGGGCCCGAGGAGCGGGCCTCCCGCCGGGCCCGAGGGGCCGAGGCGGCAGCCGCCGCAGGGGGGGGGCGCGGGGCAGGCCCGCGGCGTCGGAGGCGGTCTCATCTCGGGGGCAACGCTGGGGGGGGGGACCAGGCTCAGGGAGGGAGGGCGCACCGACTCCCGGCGGGGCGCACAGGGGCTGTGCATCGCTCGGACGTGTGCTTTTTGTCTCTCGGCGGGGATGATTCAGGAGCATCCTTGATCATTTGGGGACAAGCCACGCACGAAACCGAAAAAAGCGCATTGAATGGACGTCCGAGCGATGGCGACGGGGGGGACAGGGAGGAGGGGGGAAGGCTTCTTAGAAGGAGGGTGCTTCTTGGAAGGCGCCTGCCTCGCATCTGTTGATCCAGTCCGCGGCGTCTGAGAAGCAGGGGTGCTTCTAAGAAGCCTTCCCCACTCCCCCTAGAGACTCCCCATCGCCTACGGCCGGACCGGGGTATGAGATCGAGGCCGGTGCGGGGACGGTGCCCTAGTGTTCTTCTTGAGGTTTGTCAGGTCTTCTTGTGCATCCCGGGGAGGGCACCCTCGGATGTTCTCAGTGTGCGCTGTGGCCGACGGAGGGTCTCATTGTTCTCGAGGGATGCTCTTCTCGCCCAGGGTCCGATGGCAGTCATCGCCGAGATCAGGTGCCTCATGCAGGCAACACGTTGAGAAGATAAGAGCCACTCTCTGGGCTCAGAGGGGGCTCCGGTGTTCGAGACGCTCCTCGGCCATGGGTCCGGGGCCCCTCTCTCGTGGCCGGGGCGCGCCGTGCTGCCAGGAGAGGCCCCGCGCTGCTGCTGCAGGGTCTCCTGGCAGCACGGCGTCTGCAGCCCACTTCGCCCAGGAACTTGCGGTGCCGCTATCGGGGTCCCATCGCCGATCTCTCGCCGATGGATCGATCGCCGATTCCGGGCCGGTCTTTCCCTCCCTGAGCTGGCCTTCCCCTATCGTTCCCCCTCGCAAGAGGTCGAGGGGGGGGGGCGGCGCGGCCTGCAATGGAGGACCTCGCCAGCGAGTTCCAGGAGGACTTCATGGAGGCCGTGAAGGTCCCGGGGGGGGCCCTCGCGGGAGCTCCCCTCGGGGCCTCGTGCACGGTGGCTTCCTTGGCACCCCAGGGCATCGGCGGCACCCAGGAGAAGTGCAGCCGTGGGTCCAGACTACACTCTCCTCCTCCTCCTCCTCCTCCTCCTCCTCCTCCTCCTCCTCCTCCTCCTCCTCCGCCTCCTCCTCCTCCTCCTCCTCCTCCTCCTCCTGCGCGTCCCCCTGGCCGGGTCTGGCAGAGCCTGGGCCTGCAAGGTGGCAAGGTCTTGGTCTGCGCGGCCCCCTCGCGGGGCCTGAGGCTCGGCGGCGCAGTCCTCGGCCCCTCCCCCTGCCGCGGCCAGGCGAGGGAGGGCTCGAGGATCGAGGATCGAGCTTCTGCTCGTTGCGAGATCCAGGAGCGACGTCGTCGACGGCGACGTCTTCGTCTCATGGGGCCCTCTGCCTCGTGGGCTTCCAGGGTGGTCTCGTCGCTGCGGGCCGGCGCGGCTGGCCGGGATACGACCACCCTCGGAGCGGCCCGTGGACCGATGCTGATAACGTATTTCTGTCGACGCCCACGAGGATCGGCTTTTTCTGGCGATTCCGCTTTCTGGTAGAACTTTTGTGACCTCTGGAGACCTCCTGAGACCCCTGAGACCTCTTGGGGCCTTGGTGAGAATGAGGGGAGGCGAGGGGGGAGCAGGGGAGGGCGAGGGCTGACCAAGCCGCCACGCGGAGGCCAGGGGCGGCTGCGATATTGGCGGATGCCGCGATGGCCTCCCGAAGGTGCTCGAGGACTTCTCGTCCTCGGACGGCGAGCTCAAGGATGCGATGCGAGAGTTTCGCGAGAGGATCGCCGCGAGGAGGTACAGCTGCGCCCCCAACTTCTGGGACGACCTGCGGCGTGGCCTGGGCGCCATCGAACGCGGCAGGGAGGACGGCCCCGCCAAAAGTCGGGCGCAGCAGGTCCTGAAGCAGATCGCGCGGCTCGAGGTCAAGTTCTGGGCCAAGGAGAGCATCGGGATGCTGCGCGAGATGGACGCGGAGTCGCGCCTGGAGCGTATGGTGGGCGGGGCGCCCGTGACGGGCGGTCAACGCTCACGGAGGCCAGCCAACATCCCTTCGGGCTGGCCCGGGTTTGGGGGGCCCCGTGAGGCCGGTTCCCGTCTTCCGCCCTCCGCTGGCCCCGGTTTGGGAGCCCACATCTGTGTGGCTGGCCAGGGTTCGCGGCGCGGCCCCGACTGCCTTGGGCAGTATACGCGCCGACCCGGGTTACAGCTCGCTCTCGAGGTGGACTGGCTCCAGACGTTCGACGCCTCGGACTCGGGCGACCAGTCCTCAGGGCCCGCCGTGCTCTTCCAGGTCCTGAACGACCTCACCCTCCAGAAGGAGATGGACCAGGCCCAGCGCGACGCGCTGGCGGCTACCGTCCGGGAGAACCTCGGGAAGTTCCCGTTCCAGATGCAGGCGGTGCTCGAGCGCGTGGGCAGCCTGCAGAAGCGGGGGCCGCCCGTGCTGGGGGACTGGCGGCGGCGGAGCCAGGCGGTTGCCCAGGACCGAGGAGGCGCAAAAAGATGGTCGACAGTCGAGCTAGATTGGCAGGTGGACCCTGCCAAGCCGAGGGGATCCCTCGTGTCCTGTCTATCCCGACCTGTGCAAGCCCGCATCTCCTTTGGGCGCTCTGGGGCCACGCTGCCCTCGCAAGAGTCTTCTTGCGTCCTCTCGCGCGCCCTCTCCGGTCCGGGTCCAGCTGCAGAGGGCGCGCGGACTGACCCATTGGGTCTGTGCCGGTCACTGCACGCCGCTCCCTCAGCGCCGACGCCGCCGAAACACGTGGCCACGGCGCGACCAACGATGCGGCACTGGGAGGGCGACAGCGACGAGGGCCGGGAGGGGAGGGCAGGGGCCAGCACCATCAGAATGATGAGGACGACGACCGAGACGACGCCGAAGACGATGGCGGCGACCCCACCAGCGCGACCAGAGCCCTACTGGACCCCACCTCTCTGCGGCACTTCTTTCGACCCGGATTGATCCTGATTTCGGGACCTGGGACCTGGGAAAAAATCGCCCGGAGTGGGAAAATGACTGCGCCCGAAATTGAAGGTTCAGTACCAGTTCGAAGTATAATCATCCGTATCCCTATGTTTGGCATCACCTTACCTCGATGCCGATCTTAAGGACTACCTCAGATTCTGAGGGCACATACCTAAGATTGTCTCGGGGGTGGACAGAACCCCACCCTGACACGTCGATCAGTGAATTGTCCGTTTTCGGTTCTCGAGAGGTCGCCGCGGCCGTCATTTTCCAGGCTTGCGCCCGCCAGGTTTGGGCCCGAGGTCGTTTTCACCAAACCACGTTTTACTAAAGAGGGTTCTGTCCATCCCCGATTGTCATCGCTTTTGGCTTGCCCATGTTCTAGGGATGGGGGCAAGTTCGAGCCTGCTCAGTTTGGTTACCACCCTGGACATCCGAGGATGTGATTCCGCAAGTCCGCGGCCCCAGAAGCCCCGACCCCTTCCCCTGGGTGCCCGTCTCTTGCCCCGGATCCGTTTCTGCTGGCCTGGAAGACCAGTAACGGGCCGCAGAGGCCAGTATCGAGGGAAGATGCCGCGACCCTGGGGCCCCAGAGGCCAAGATCGAGGAGAGACGTCGCGGCTGGAAATAAAAGAGGTTGCCGCATGCAGGCCTGGGCCCCCCACCCGACTGGCGCCCGCGAGCCCGCCCGCCGCGTATGATCGCATCCCGTGTCGTGACGTGCAGCAACGGGCAGGCTCAGCCCGCCGCCCCAGGCACCGAATCTCAGGATTCGTCCAGGCCTCCCGAGTGAGCTACGCAGAAAAAGGGGTCGTCTTCACCGACATTCGCGCGTAAGCTGCCCGCGCAAGGTCGCGCGCAAGCGCCCTCGTTTCCAGTGCCGCGTGCCGCGCTGGTGGCCCGCTCAAACGGGGTCCGAATAGATAGGGCCCGAGGATTGCACTGCATCGCCGATGCATCGGCGACGCGGCTGCTCGCCGTGGAGCTCGGCCTTCTCCACGCCGACGGCGTCGATGCATCGCCGACGTTGCGGACGCCTCGCCGATGCCTTCGCGACGCCTCGGCGAGGCGGCCCGATCTGCCGACCCTGCCTGCTCGGCGGGGGGCCTCTGGGCCTGCCCGCGGGGGCGCGGAGGGCCTCGCCCGCCGCGGCCTGGGCCGCAGCGGCTGCCCTTCTCCGGCGGGGGCGGCGCGAGGGCGCGCAGATCATCGCGCGTCGCGCCTCGCGGGGCGTGGTGCCCGCTGCCCTGCAGATCTGGACGCCCGAAATGGGTACCGAAAGAATGGGTACAATGCCCAACAGCAGTTCCTGTTCCTTTTCAACAGGACCCGCCGTCGGCGCCGCCGCGGCCCGTGTACATTCGAGACATGAGGCCGCCGGCCCAACAGCGGCCGCTGTTGGTTTGGGACGACATTTGTTGTTGGGCATGGTACCCATTTTTCGGTACCCATGTCGGGCGTCCAAAGCAGACTACCTTCCCTCGCGGGCGCCCGCGAGCCAGCCTGCCACGGACCGGCGACATCCCCAAGAGGCCTGCCGCTCCCTGGGAATCCCACCTCGCGTCCTCGACGAAGGACGTCTGCGTACCGCGGCCGCCAGGCCCCCAAGGGGCCCACCGCTCCCTCGGAATCCCGCCCGAGGCAAACTTATTCATGTTTATGCAATTCCGAAGATCCGACATCTTGTTCTTTTTCGGCGCGGGGTCCGCAGTAGTCGTGGCGCTTTCCCTAGGATCGCTTCTTCGCCTCGAGGCGTTTCGTGGCGGTCCAGGGGCCAAGCGAGGGCCCCCAGAGGCCGAAAACGGTGAAGGCCCCCAGGGCCCCCAGAGGTTCTTCTGCAAGGCCCTGAGATCAGACATTTTTTTAATGCAACATCTCGACAAGTCACGACTTGAGCCCTAAACCCCATCTGGGTGCGCCGTTCTCCGAGCCGGATCGATCTGTCAGGGCACCAGGGCCCGAAGTTCGGTGAAAACGCCCAGCTCGAAAAAGTGGAGTCGCCGGGATCTCAGGGCACGATGGATGTCCCCAGATCCCCGACTTCATCCTTTGTTGCTGACGTCGGCCCTCAGAGGTCTCGGCCCACTCCCTGGTGACCGAACTCTCCTTCGGAGTCGCTTCCGACGGTCCCGAGGCCCGCTACGGGCCCTCCGAGGCCGAACGTCGCAAAAGACGAGCAAAAACAAAACACGCCGTGGTGTCTCGCGGCGCGAGGGGCTCTTGGCTCTGGCCCCGTGCCGCGGCGTGGGCCTCTCTGGGCAGGATCCGCCCGCCGCCGGGGGCACCGGGGCCGCGTTCCTGCCCGCGCCGGCGCCCCGGCTGGTGGAGCGGCCCGGCTTCCTGGGCAGCCTGAACGTGTCCATCCTCCCGGCGACCTCGGCCAGCCTCGCGGCGCGCCTCGGGGGCGGCAAGCAGCTCCGAGCCTCGAAGTGTGGGGGATTTGTCCCGCAGTTTCTGGTGGTCCTCGGCGGTCTTCCGGCCTCGGGGTGCTCTGCTATAGCGGCTGCGCCTCGCCGAGAGCGTTCCGTGGTTGGAACAACCAAGACGCCGGATCTCTGGGTACCTCTCCGACGATGTAAGCGTATACGATCTTGCGGCCCTGCGGCCATCAGAAAGAGAACCGCGGCAAACAGCTGCTTGCAGGGACGCGGTCGGTAGCTCTGGGGCCGCGCGTATTGAAGGCATCACATCGTCGGATGCCTGGGTCCGCGGTGCAGGTTCGTTTCGTGTCGACGCGGCGGCCGCCCAAGGGAGGGGTCACCGATGGGGGGTGCCACAACCGCCTTCCAGAAGTCGAGGATCGCGGGGCCACCCCTGGTGGGGGCCACCACCTCCTCCCTGGCCTTCGAGGGTCGAGGAGGAGGGAGGGAGAGGATCGAGGAGGTCTTGGACGCATCTGGGGCGTCTTTGACAGTCCTGGAGGCCACGGGGGGTGCACCAAGGCATAGGGTCCGTTGCCTCGGGGCCCTGGCCAAACCAACCACCCTGGCGGTGACTCCCTTTGCCACGGCCTCGGCGGCAGGTTCCTGCCGGGCCGACGCGGCGGCGGCCCCGGCGCGGGCGCTCAGGGTCGAGCGCCGCCGGTGGCCCAGCATCGGCGGGCATCGGGCGATCTGCACCATCGGGGAGCCTCGACCGTCAAGGCTGAGCGATCCACGCGGTGTCAGATCCACGCGGCGTGAGAAGCCAGCACGCAGGACGTCGTCACGGCACGCGTCGGGCGGGCGGCAGCGGGTGGGCCGTAAACGTGGGGGTGATCGAGGGTTGCAGGAAGGTGGCGCCCTACATGGCCCCTGAAAAGCCACCGCGGGCTCACAGAGGAAAGGTGCCCGCTTCTTCACCCCACGCTGATTTTGACCCCCGTTGGCGAGCACGCGAACAACCCTGCCGGACTCAGTTCCGTGCCCTCTCGCGATCCAGGACTCCCTCCCGGCGAGACCCCGCAGATGCAGCCGACGCGAGGATTCAGCACAGCCTTCCCCCTTCTCCTCCTCAGGAGGCAGGAGGAGGAGGAGGAGGAGGAGGAGGAGGAGGAGGAGGAGGAGGAGGAGGAGGAGGAGAAGGAGGAGGAGGAAGGCAGGAGGAGGAGGAGGAGGAGGAGAAGGAGGAAGAAGAGGAGGAGGCGGAGGAGGAGGAAGAAGGACGGAGGA